AGATTATTATATTTTTTATTACATTTAAAATAATTACGCGCAATTTGTTTTTTATTTTTATATCCCGTTTTCTATCAATTATCTGTATATTTTTTTCTGATATTTTTCAAATTTAAATTTTACGATTAACGTCTCAAAAGAAGAAGAAATACAGAAAATTCGTATAAATAGCTAGAATATATGGGTCCATTTCGCGCTGTATGCCGTTGACATTTAACACGCGAATATCCTCGCGGATCTGGCTAGAATGAGCCCGTCAGTCGTAATATGACATGTGTTCCTCGATGACGTTGATTTACGGCGGTCTCTCAACAAAGTCGAAGAAGAGGTTGGCAATTGGGCCGACTCTGTTATGTAGACGGCTCGTAAATTCTCCGTACGAACGAGGTTTCTTTACCAATGAAAACGGGTAGCAACGAAAAAAGCACGCATCTGACCGGGATGTTAGCTGTCAAATTTGCACATTGAGCCCGTCCAAATTAATCGCAAAAAAAATTCTCAGCACACGCCTGAACAATTTATAATTCAGCTCAGTTTGAAGACACCCTTCACGCTCACGAATTTTCCGATCATTCTTCCGATTGCTTTCGAATTTTCATCGAACGCGAGAATCCTGCTTTTTCCGTTAGTGCCATTTAACGTTTTCATTAATCGCTTTTAGTTATTATTTAAGTGCGTTTGTTTTACTAACCTCGTTTTTACACTCATATATTATCGATAAAGTAACAATTTATTTAATATTTGTTTCCATTCGATAAGCAATTACAATTTATATCGATAACGACGAGAAAGGAATATTGCAATTTTTATGCGCAGTTTGACATATTCTTGAATTTTAATGTTCATAAACAAAGATTAAAGATTTAGTTATTTCTCTAGAAATAGCGAATAATAGTTTTCTGTTATTTTAACGTCGTCATCCCCTAAGGCTGAATTTTCTCTTACAGAATTTGAGCGAGAATTCCTGGCGCGATGTACGCTTCGATCTCTTGATATATATTCATAATAAATTTCTTTACAAGGGACATGAAAATTCCTGAAGCAATATACTTTGACTCTACAACATTCATAACAAAGCATTTGCGCAATAATGTCGTAATATCGGAAGTCACTTTTAAAGTGTCTGCCAGCGATGATCTCGTAAAGTAGTTGCTCGTGCGTATAATGCATCCAACAATCATTGCTCAATGATTCAGAACCGCAAAATGATCTTTGCTTTGATATTTATCGGCGTTTACGACTGTATCATGTGTTCAAGTTTTATAGACATATTTTCGGTGTAAGTTTCTTTTAGAACGGCACGTTATTTAAACAAAATCGTTGATTTCCAATAAATTTTTATTATGGAAATGACAGTTTTGCCGAAATATCTATATCTAGACATAGATTTGAAAATAATTTTGTGGGATTAAAATAAATAAAATAAATGTAAATACCTATCAGAGTAAATGCCAACACAAGTTGTTAAAATGTGTGAAAATTTATTTATTACAGTGTCTTAACAAATTGTGTTAACTCTAATAGGTATTATACATTTATTGATTCATTCTAAACCTAATCTGATAATCTAATAATTTGTGAATTAAAATAATTATGTAAGACCTTTAAATTGGTTACTAAAATTGGTTACTAAATTAGTTACTTAAATTGGTTACTAAAAAGACTTGTTGTAACATTGTTCATCATACTTGGTATTTCTGGTAAAACATATCTGTTTTGATGATTCAACAAAATTATTTTCAGATCTAACTCTTAGATACTTCATTGTTTTTCCGGATAGAACTTGCTTGAATGTATATATCGATGTATGATACAGCAATGTAAAAAATAATATGAGTCATATTTGAGAATATCTTCTCCCATGAAGAAATATTTTGTTAAAAATACGAATTTCCGATCGTTATTTAAAAGTCTTGGATTTTTACTTTACTTTAGATAATAAAAATTCCTATTTTTTTTTACAATTAATTGTCAAGAAATATTTCACGTGGTGTGCTTAACTTAACTACAACACCATTAGTACGAATTTGGTACGGCTATCATCTACCTTAGCGTAGCTTTCTAATCACACGAAACCTGCCTATGCCACTTGTCTACTGGCCCGCATAATAATACAAAGCTCCCTCAAATTTGAGGAACTTCAAACGACACACTTAATTGCGTGCATTTATCACAAAATGTTTGCTCCACTTGTATAGGCCTCCTACGACGTATTTCTAGGTCTGTGCGACGCATGCTCTACTGACTGTAAAAGGCGACATTACATGCTGTCTTCACGCTAATATCAATCGAGGATCACAAAAAAAGAAAAAAAAAAGAGAAGAAACGCAACATGGTCGGAGGAAAAAAAACCTCGTCAGCTGAATACTCTTCTACAGCTCCCCTAAACGACCTTCCGTCGCAGGAAAAGTTACAACAAGATTTTTTATGGAAGGGAGGATTTTTTTTTTTAAGCAAAAAGTGGATTGGGAAACACGTTTAACTAAGTAGTCGTCGACAATTGGTGAGCACTTCAATCTTGCGAACAAACGAAAACGTGAAAAGAACAAAGAGAGAACAGACTGAATAAAACAGAAGAAGAAAAAGAGGGATGTGTATAGATAAAACAGACGGAGAAGACGAGAGAAGAACAGGACCCTTAATTCCTACCTCCAGGGCGGGCGCTTTAGCCTGAAACACAAACGGCAAACCTGAAAAGAAATTCCGGAAGGCGGAAACTCGAGCTCGAGTTTTTACACAAAGGAATTAAGTCCTCGTTTTAAGCAAGTTAATTCCCCCCTTTCCCGATGCAAACGCAAAAGTCTGTACAATCGACGTAGTGTGATCTACCATCCACTTTTTCTTTCATTGGTCCCCGTGATTATATGTCGATTAATAATCATCCCTTTAAACAACTATAAAAGATGACAGGAGAAAAATTAATATAAAGAAGGAGAAAGGGAACAAAGATGATGCAAAGGTGGAAAAAATAGTGTATGAAGAAGTATTTAGGCAACAAGATGCAACAAGATGCCGCGCAATCGAAAGATAGCAGAGAGGACTCTCGCATAAACTCGCATGAAGTGAATTTTATTTTGAGATTGTCCTTAAAAAATCACAAATAATCCGATAGTAAATACATAATGCAATGTTCGAAACGTTTAATATTAAAAACTATAGCTTTTTTAAAATCGATTATCTTCTTTTTCTTTCCTGTTAAAGGTTTCATCTGGAAAGATATTTTTATTAATACACGTTAAAAAAATAATTGCATTATTAAAAATATGTAGCAGAAATTATATTTTTTATATTGCGTTTTTGCTGAATAAATTTTAAATTTGACTTTATCGAAACATTTTGATTTTATTAATTCATTGAATATTTCTTTAATTTTCGATGTATTTTTCACTAAACTAAATTTCTTATAAAAAACGATTTCTTAGTAATGCGATTCGGATCAAAAGAATTGAAGTGTTCGCCGTCGATCACAATCGTTTGTTATATTATTGTAGTTGTAAATATTATTCGACATTGTTTTTCGACAAAAAGTTAATTTTCAAAGGGAAAGTCAACACATCGAATATGAAATCCATTCACGCGGGAATGGTGTCAGAGAGACGGCATCATCGGAGCAAAAATAATCATCTCGATAGTTAACAGTGCTCGCTGTTTTCGATCAATTGTGCCGTCGGATGCATCGGGATTTTTACGTGAATGAAACAAAAGAGAGAGAAAGAGGAAAAGAGAACGAAACAAATAGGCGAAAAATGAGATACAATGAGAATGGCGAATGGTCGGGACAATGTAGAACGCGAGATAGGGATGGTGTAATTGTTATCGGTTTCTCTCTTTTGGCGTTCTCTCGTGTGTGCAAGCCTGGCAAAATGTGTGTCAACTAACGTCAGCTGTTGCTTGAGGCCATTCCAGCTAAACGGGTCCACCAAGAGATTACGGACTTTAGTCAAAATCTCTGCGCTCATTTGTCTCGTCTTATAGATACTGCACCGCATTTCGCTTCCGGTGCACGTGCGAATAAGCGTTTTCCGTTTGCGCTTTCACGCTTATCGTCGAGAATATTTCGGGCTTGCACAAAGCGGTTAACATCGCAACGATTGTGATATTACGAGCTTCTTACAGTTCTTCTTATGAATACATTATATGATTATTGATACGATTATGAAAAATTTTTATTTTATTATCGAGTTTAATTTTGCTTGTGATGATAATTATTTCAATTTATTTTCAGAAAATAGAGATATAATTTTAATATGTAATGAAAAATTAATTTTTGAAAATAAATTTCAGGAAAGAAATAATCGCTGTTAAATGTACAGTATTAAATTTTATTTAAGTCGCCACTGTTCAAACAATAGGTAAATTTGGCACTATATATTGTCGCATTTATTGTTTTAATAAAAAATAATGATATATTAAATAGGAGCAGTGGCAATTAATTAAATTAAGTTGATACTACAGATTTAATAGTAATAAATCTGATATTTTTTTATGAATTACGCGTGTAATTTTATTTCAATAATATATTTACGTTTAATTATTTAGATATTTAGAATTCGCTGACAAAGCTTTTATTCTAAATAATTATCTGTAGAAAGAAATTCATGAAAGAAATCTATCAAACTTTTATCAAATCATGCAGTTAATATACCATTACAAGCTTGCATCCAATCGCTTTGTTTGTATCACCGATTCCATCGGTGATAATCTTCCAATCGTCCGTTTAATTATGTCCGTTCTATGTCTTATCCGTAGCGCAACATAATGAAAACGTGTCAACGCTCGTGAGAGTTTGTTTTCCGGATTAATAGCCGATTATCAGACGGCGATCGTGACATGATTGATTATCGCGCCGTTTCTATTTAACCACGCGCGTTCTTCGATTTAATTAAAAACTCGTTCGAGTACTTCGTGTCTCGGTAGCCGCAGCTCTCTCTGCGGTCGCGTGCACCGGAAGCGAGAAATAATTGTTCGCGGGAATTAGTAGAAATCGAGAAATGTCTCACCTGCAACCTGTAGTTGGGATCCTGCGTCGCTGCGTGAGCCGCGAGGAAAGGGTCGTAGTAAACGCTGCAAAAAATAAAAACCACCAATGAGTAATGAACGCTTTATCCGCTTGTCCGCCACTACGCCCGTGGGGAGATTACTGAATTTCTAATTTTATGACTTTCTCTGTAAAGTGTAATTAACGCAATTCGCACCAATCAATTATTTTTTTATTTAAGAAAATTAAATCTTTCGTTTGTATACAAATATCTCCTTTAAAAAAAAAAAACATATTTTGCAAATTCGATATTTGCCCATATTTTTTACGCAAAATATTTATAAATGACTTTAATATTGAATACAATAGGGACATTCAGTTAAAAGCTGTCACTTCAAAAAAACCTTTAATCTTCCGATTCAATAATGTACAACGCTCATTTAATAGACGTCACATATTAAACATTGCGTTCCGTTCGAGAATAAAATTGAAAATTTATTTCTGGGATACGATAATCCTCACTTTGTAGAATAATGGAGGATGACAGAGGCGATAAACTTTGTCCTCCCCTGGACTACGCGAACGAAGTTTGTTTTATGCGCGAAGATCATAAATTATGCCGAGGAAAAGGTTGATTGCTTTATATTGCATCCGCACAGTAGCATTCGCAATGGAATTAGTTTTACAAGTAGCTCACTTCTATTATCTTCGTTGGGGAAGATCGTTGTTAAAAGTCTATTTAACTTGAGTAAGTAATAACTTTGTTTTAAAAGGCACAGAGAAAAAAAATTTGTCGACTTTATGGAATGCGAATTCGCGGTTCGTTTTAACTATACTCTGTCAGGAATGAAGAAAATTACGAAAGCACTTACAACACATATGCATTTCGTAAAATGCGAGCGTAATTTCAGGAATAAATTTAACATACTGGTAATGATAAAAATGCGCACAAACATTCGTCCTGTTTAACTGTGTTTAAGATTCTTTAATATTACTTTTAGATTCATGAAAGAATAAGTAATAAAAAAATTATTATTTGAAATATCTGTATATCTGATAGCAAATATTTATCGGAATAAAACTGTGCGTTACATATTTCTTGCCTTGTCAATATTGAATTTAAAACTGAAGTAAAAATACATATACATTTCTATGTCATAAATTTTCGTTAAGTGTAATCATTTATCGACAACATTTTGCATCCTTATACATTATCATTGCAAATAAATTATCATCAAATTGTGTGTGTCGGAAATTATTATCGATTGCTTTTATAAAAGAAATTTCCCAAAACGTCATGAAAGTATTTACAAATAGACAATAAAGATATTTGAGGTCAGAATAAAAAATACGATAAACAATGAAGTTGTTCCATCCAGTATATGCCAAAAATTACTGAAGCTCAAAGAAACTATCGTAACTCAAAAACAAAAATAGATAGGATAAATATATTTGTGTTTTGGATATACTTGTGTTTGAGCTATTTTTATCAATCGTTTTCGTTATTTCTCTGTAAATAAAAATTCATTCCTGAAATTATACGAACATTTTACGAAGTATAACTTTATATTGATTTTGAAAAAAAAAATATTTGTTTACACCTAGTGTGACGTTGCACGAATTCGAGATAAAATATAAGTCATTTCCTTTTCTATAATCTGCTTCAAGTTATAAATTAAACACGGTCTTTACATTAAAATTCATAACGAATACACACACACACGCGCGCGCGCGTGTATGTATATACAGATATAGATAGATATTGGACTTGACAAATCCGATTTCGCGGCCGAGGTGTGCATCGATGTAACAGGCTTCGAAGATTGATTTTCGTCCGTATTCAAATTTTTCATTCCTGCCAACGCCATGTCCAATTTCATAACGTTAAAATGAACGAACGATTGACGTTCGACGCGAATGCTTGCTCCTAAAAATTCGGAATGATAAAAAAAAAAAGATAAAGTGTCTACATTCTACAACGATTTTTAATCTTCAACAAAAAATGCGCGCGATCACCGCGACATGACCGACAAACCGCGTTGATCCAACAGTCGTGTTTTAATCTTCTAATCAGTCAAAGAGCAGTTGGAAATGAAATTTTTTTTTTTTTTAGGTGTCACCTCTTTGATTATCCTCGGCAGAGAAGCAATTGAGCGTCCTCCATTTTTTCACTCGTTTAAAGTCTCCATTTAGCAAAAAACGAGCGAACCGCGGACGCTCTTTCGCAAATTATAATCCGCATTGTGCACAAAGGGGGCGTTTATAGGAAATAGGTTTGGGAAGGTGAACATGCAGTGTGCAAACGCATGTGAGATTGACAGACAAAGCCTTAACGAGCGGCGCGTGCAAACTCATTGCAGCGAGTAATTCTCCTCAATTATTTTCGATATTATTCGATCTTCGACGCATGATGAAGTGATGGAGTGTATATACTCAACGATACTCCCACATTCAATGGCAATATAGTTAAATGATCGTCATCGAGCTACGAGTTAAAGTTGTTTACACCAACAATCATTGATATTTGCGGAAAATTAAATTTTCAATACGTGGCTAAAATTTGGAAAAAAAATTAAAAAGAGAATGTGATTATTGATTATCGAAAATGTAATTTGTACTTAAGAAAAAATGAAAAGAAGAACCCTTCAATCAAATTAGATCTAAATAAAAAGTTTATTTATCGTAAATACTATTAAAGATAAATAACATAATTAGTTGGAAAATGCGATTTAACGTTTGAATTCGCGAGTTAAACTTTATTGCATGGAAGAACTAGTGGCATATAAATCACGCTAACTAGGTAAGTACCGATCGTTAAGAAGAAAAAGGCTATTGCGAAAAAGTCCTTCGAAACTTTAACGACGCACGCACCTCTTCCACGCCCTGGCTACGTAAATTAATTATCGTCATTATACCATACGTCTGTTTTTATCGTTCAATGAACCTTCGCAGTAAGTTTCGTAACAGGAAAGTATTTTCGAGGTACGCTCTTGA